GAAGCTGAAAACTCGCAGCTTGAGTCGCTGGGGACCTTTCGGCAGGAACAGCCGTGGTGTTGCCATGTACCGGTTCCGTAGCGAGTAATGCCCGCACAGGCCGTACTCGGAAAGCACTGTCATGCCATGCTTTGCAAGGCTCATTTGAGTTGAGTTGTCTGTCAGACACCAGTTAAAACAACTTTCCGGTAAATCCCCCAGAAATCATCTCCACCTTCTACAACCTAATTAGGGGAGTAAGCGTAAGAGCAAAAGCGAAAGCAGGAGCAACAGCAGGAGCAAGAGCAAGAGCCCCGACAGGAGCTGGAGCAAGAGCCAGAGATGGAGCAAGATCCTCCTCGAGAGATACATACTCCTTATAATTACTATAATAACAGAAGCCATGAAATTCAATTCTTTATTTGGGGGGGGGGGGGGGGGGTGATATTAGGTGGAAAGGATTAAGGCGCGGAGCCTCCGACGTAGAGCCTTAACATTCGAGTTGCGTCCGTGGGACAATGGCAGGTTGGTTTCAGGCGCTGAAAGCTTCAAGCGATTGGCAAACATCGAAAACCTGTCTGTCCTGAGTTTCAGCCGCCCTTCGTGGCCAGGACTGCAGATGTGACAAGTTCTGCATCCACGCCGACTGGTGCCAGCCCAGCAGGCCAGAAGCGATCAGAAGCGTTCAATCTCTGTGAAATTCTGTTTCTACCTCGGCAATGCTGCTTCTATCATGATTCTAGCTGCGTTTGCATGTCACATCTTTGTTCTTGCATCCGGCGATCTGACGAACAAGGCATCAGGCCTAGCTGCGGCACGGTGGACTTCAAGAAGCGCATTGCGGCAGCCTGAAACATGTTTACATGTTTGCCGTGTGTCGCAGTTGGTTTCATCCATCAACAAAGCATCACATATGCCGTAGTCCCAGCAGATCCTGTGCTGTCCAGGATCAACAGCGGGCAAGTGTGGATGGTGGAGCGCAGACGTTCGTCTGCCCCCCAGCTGATCAAACCTCGGTTGTAAGACACGAGTGGAGTGGACCACCTCTGCTTTTTGTCTTGTCATGCTCCATTCGCTCCGACCGTCAGTGGTGCATCTCGTGATCTGTCCGATCCCTACAGCCTGTGGCAGTGGACATAGCTATCATGGTCTGCACCAGACACACGAACAGCGCCTGAATCACGGAGACCTGCATCTTGACGGCCTGGAGCTGTTGGCATCATGCCACCAAGGAGAGTCGACCGAGCGAGCATTGTGCCGATGCCGGAATGGCGGTGCCCAATGCTGGTGGCGCTTCGGGCCAGGCCCGCTTCGATATGCACTGGCTCTGGCAACCCCTGAAACCAGACTCGTGTGTCACCAGGTCTTTGAGAGCACACCAGAAAAGACGACAGCAGATTGCGCGCTCGGCTTATCGGCTTGCTCTCGGGAAGCTAGAATATGTGGTTGAGCTTCTTTGATATGAGGTCTCCAGCATTCGGAGTGCCATGCAGCTGCCCGAGCTGCCTGAGCTGCAGCTGCCACTGGCTTGGATTCTCGCTAGGAAAATTCAACACTGAAGGCGTCGCTTCCACACGTGGCCGTTGCTTCGAGCCCAGGCCAGCTTCTCCTGTCCAGGAACAGGAACCTGAGGATCAAGAACAGGAGGAGGCCGGAAGCAGACTCTTGCGCCATGTGCTGCGCCTCTTCGGGCCCCATTGCTGTGCATCAAGGCTGGCGATGACGAGGAAGAGGAGGCAGAGGAAGCAGAGGTCTCTGACGGAAGTCCCACCAACAAGGCTCCGACAATGGTGTTGGTGTGCGTGTGGGTGTGTTTGTGTGCATGTGTGTATATATATAT